TGGGATTATAGGCACGCGCCACCATGCCCAGCTAATTTTTTTGTATTTTTAGTAGAGACGGGGTTTCACCATGTTGACCAGGATGGTCTCGATCTCTTGACCTTGTGATCCACCCGCCTCGGCCTCCCAAAGTGCTGGGATTACAGGCTTGAGCCACCGCGCCCGGCCCTCAGATTTTTGTTTTTTGAGACAGAGTTTCACTCTTATTGCCTAGGCTGGAGTGCAGTGGCGCAATCTTGGCTCATTGTAACCTCTGCCTCCTGGGTTCAAGCAATTCTCCTGCCTCAGCCTCTTGAGTAGGTGGGATTACAGGCATGTGCCACTACGCCTGGCTAATTTTTTGTATTTTTAGTAAAGATGGGGTTTCTCCATATTGGTCAGGCTGGTCTTGAACTCCCAACGTCAGGTGATTGGCCTGTCTCAGCCTCCCAAAGTGTTGGGATTACAGGCGTGAGCCACAGTGCCTGGCCAAAGGGAAGAGGTTTAATTGGCTCACAGTTCTGCCTGGCTGGGTAGGCCTCAGGAAACTTACAATCATGGCAGAAGGCAAAGGAGAAGCAGGCACATTTTTCACAGGGCGGTAAGATGGAATGAGTGTAAGCAGGGGAAATGCCAAACACTTACAAAGCCATTAGATCTCATGAGACTCACTCATTATCCAGAAAATTGCATGGGGGAAACCACCCCATGACCCAATTACCTCCATCTGGTCCCACCCTTGACATGTAGGGATTCTGGGGATTACAATTCGAGATGAGATTTTGGGTGGGGACACAGCCAAACGGTATCAATGGCTAAAGGTACAGGTTTCTTTTGGGAGTGACAAAAATGTTTTAAAATTAACTGTGTTGATGACTGCACAACTATGTGAATATACTTAAAACCACTGAATTGAATTGTATACTTTAAGTTGGTGAGCTATGTGATATGTGACTTACGTCTCAATAAAGTTGTTACCAAAATGAATAAATAGATAAATGGTAGATCTCTGTATCCTGCTAGATACCTCCTTCCAAGAAAATGTGGGTCCACTGTTTAGTTCCTGAAGATACAGGAGCTCTGCCAGCCAGCTGCGCTTCCCTGCCCACAATTACGCCATCATCTACCCCCTCTTTCCCCATCATGTCTACTAGGATAGCAGCCTGTCTAGGGAAGACCGTGACACAATATTAGTTCCAAGACGGGACAATAGAATTATAACAGAGGGGCAGCTGGAGTCAGACACAGAAGCCACCCCTGGATTAGACATCAAATCTCAGTGTCTGCAGGAGAGGTGATTTGAGCCCAAGATAGAAACCAAAGTGACAGGGCCTGGCAACTCCAAGAGTGTGATTGTCAGTGGTGATAATGATGGTCATAAGAATTAGCAATTACTGGCAGGGTGCAGTGGCTCACACCTGTAAGCTCAGCACTTTGGGAGGCCAAGGTGAGTGAATTGCTTGAGCTTAGGAGTTCTATGCCAGCCTAGGCAACCTGGTGAAACCCCATCTCTACAAAAAAAAATACAAAAATTAGCTAGGCATGGTGGCACAAGTCTATAGTTTCTGCTACTTGGGACACTGAGGTAGCAGGATCACCTGAGTCTGGGAGGTTGAGGCTCCAGTGAGCTGTGATTGTCACTGTACTACACTGCAGCCTGGAAGACAGACCCTGTCTCAAAACAAACAACAAGCAAAAACAACAAAAAAAAACGGCCAGGCAGGGTGCCTCATGGCTGTAATACCAGCACTTCGGGAGGCCAAGACAGGTGGATCACTTGAGGTCAGGAGTTCGAGACCAGCCTGGCCAACATGGTGAAACCCGTCTCTAATAAAAATACAAAAATTAGGCCAGGCACAGTGGCTCACACCTGTAATCCCAGCACTCTGGGAGGCTGAGACAGGCGGATCATGAGGTCAGGAGATGGAGACCATCCCAGCCAACATGGTGAAGCCCCGTTTCTACTAAAAATACAAAAATTAGCCTGGTGTGGTGGCACGTGCCTGTGGTCCCAGCTACTCGAAACGCTGAGGCAGGAGAATCACTTGAACCCGGGAGGCAGAGGTTGCAGTGAGCCAAGATTGTGCCACTACATTCCAGCCAGTGTGACAGAGCGAGACGCAAGAGTCTGTCTCGAAAAAAAAAGGAGAAATGACTGAGCATTTACAGGTCAGGTCTGCACATGCATTATTTCTTTCTATGCTCAAGACAATTCTGTCAGATAAAATATATTGCTATCTTCATTTTAAGTATGAGGAAATTTAGGTTTAAAGAGGTTGCCTATCTGGGCCAAGGTCACACAGCCAGGAGAAGCAGAGGCCAGATTGGAAACCAGGTCTACTGTGATCAACTGATATCAAAATCCCCCAACGTCCCTGTTCTGGCAGGATTAATGGGCACTGATGTTGTGTGGGCAAAAGAGTGGCTCCGTAGAGGCCAGAGGCCTCCCTACACCATTCACACTCTGTTCAAGGCCCAGCATCCCCTGAATGAAAGCATGGGGGCTTATTTCTCATCGGGAACACCGATGATGAGTTTCACCGAAGGCTTGTGAGAGCTGCAAGTTACCTAGAAATAGAAAGGAGAGCCAGCCCAGACAGTACTTCCGGGGTGTTTGGAGGGAAGGAGCAACTTGCAGGAAGTGAGCAGGCTGTCAGCGGAGTGTGGGAACTCGGCACCACCGGCCTGACAGTCAAAGCCAGAAAACCAGACAACCTGGGACTTGGGCCTAACTTCCCTCCATGGCCCTCGGCTTCCTCTTTGGAGGACCAGATGGTCAATCTGGAAAAGCTGCAACGTCCCTGCCTGTCAATACAGCTGATGTGTCTGACTGCTGAGGACAGTCCCATACATGCAGCCGTTGTGACACTTCCTAGGCGCTGAGGCCCTGGCCACAGCCCACAGGGTCACACCCACCCTCCAGTCCCATTCTTACACCACTGACCCTGTTATGGATCAAGTTGTGTCTCCAAAAACATAACGCTGAAGTCCTAACCTCGGGTAGCTGTGAATGTGACCTTTCTTGGAAATAGGGCCTTTGCAGATAGGTGGATCCTACTCCAATGACTGGTGCTTTTTTTTTGAGACCGAGTCTCACTTTGTCCCCCAGGCTGGAGTGCAGTGGTGCAATCTCAGCTCACTGCAACCTCCACCTCCCAGGCTCAAACGATTCTCCTGCCTCAGCCTTTCAAGAAGCTGGGATTACAGGTGTGAGCCACCATGCCTAGCTAATTATTTTAATTGTTTTTATCTTTTGAGATGAAGTCTCACTCTGTCTCCCAGGCTGGAGTGCAGTGGTGCAAATCTCAGCTCACTGCAACCTCCACCTCCAGGGTTCAAGCGATTCTCCTACTTCAGCCTCCCGAGCAGCTGGGATTACAGGTGCCTGCCACCACACCCAGCTAATTTTTTGTGTTTTTAGTAGAAATGGGGTTTTACCATGTTGGCCAGGCTGGTCTTGAACTCCTGACCTCAGGTGAGCTGCCTGCCTTGGCCTCCCAAAGTGCTGGGATTACAGGCATGAGCCACTGCCCCTAGTCACTTTTTTTTTTTTTTTTTTTTTGAGACAGAGTTTCGCTCTTGTTACCCAGGCTGGAGTGCAATGGCGCGATCTCGGCTCACGGCAACCTCCGCCTCCTGGGCTCAGGCAATTCTCCTGCCTCAGCCTCCTGTGTAGCTGGGATTACAGGCACGCGCCGCCATGCCCAGCTAATTTTTTGTATTTGTTTTAGTAGAGACGGGGTTTCACCATGTTGACCAGGATGGCCTTGATCTCTTTTTTTTTTTTTTTTTTTGAGACGGAGTTTCGCTCTTGTTACCCAGGCTGGAGTACAATGGCGCGATCTCGGCTCACCGCAACCTCCGCCTCCTGGGTTCAGGCAATTCTCCTGCCTCAGCCTCCTGAGTAGCTGGGATTACAGGCACGCACCACCATGCCCAGCTAATTTTTTGTATTTTTAGTAGAGACGGGGTTTCACCGTGTTGGCCAAGATGGTCTCGATCTCTTGACCTCGTGATCCACCCGCCTCAGCCTCCCAAAGTGCTGGGATTACAGGCGTGAGCCACCGTGCCCGGCCTACTCTTTTTTTTTTTTTTTTTTTTTTAACAACCAGTAATCAATTTATTAAGATAACAGACTTAAGCATCTGCAGTGGTGACTTCCACCTCAACTCCCGGCTCAATACTGATGGAAGTAATCCGCTTAACAATCTCAGAAGGACTGTGTAAGTCAATGAGTCGCTTGTGGATTCTCATCTGGAAATGATCCCATGTTTTAGAACCTTCATCACGAGGTATTTTTCTTGTAGTGATTCTCAAAGTCTTCGTAGGCATTCGAACTGGTCCTTTCACTTTCGGATTCTTTTCCTTTGCTCCTCTGATCAAGTCAGCACACACCTTTTCCAGCGATTTTACGTTGCAGCTTGTTAGAGTGATTCGAATTCGGTGAATTGCCACCTCCGGCTCCACGGGTGTTTTTCCGGTATCCTTAAAAGCCATCGCTGCTGCGCGGCTTCCTGACCGATTTGTTCCTGGGCAAGAGCAAACAGCGGTGAGTCGGGAACAGGAGCGTGCGGACTAACGATCTTTTTTAAGAGATGGAGTTTCCCTATGTTGCCAAGGCTGGCCTTGAACTCTGGCCTCAAGCAATCCTCCTGCCTTGGCCTCCCAAAGCGCTGGGATTACAGACATGAACCACTGCACCTTACCTGTGTCTTCATGAGAAGTAAGGCCATGTGAAGACAGGCACACAGAAGGGAGAATGCCATGTGACAAAGAAGGCAGAGATTTGGTCCAGGCACACTTGGGACTCCCAGAAGGTTTAAGTGGCAAGAAGAGATCCTCCTCTAGAGCAGGGGTCCCCAGTCTTTGGGCCTTGGACTAGTACTGGTCTGTAGCCTGTTAGGAACCAGGACGTGGTGGGAGAGCGAGCATTACTGCTGGAGCTCTGCCTAATGTCAGACCAGTGGTGGCATTAGATTCTCTCTCTCTCTCTTTTTTTTTTTTTTTTTTTTTTAATTTCAGGTCAGATGGATAATGTGCAGGCGTCGTAACAAGGTTAGAGGGTGGCACATCTCACACAAGCGTGTGAACACCCAATCATCATGCTCATGAACTACAAAAGGATCGGCATTAGATTCTCTAGGAGCGAGAACTCAATGGCGAACTGCACATGTGGGTGATCTAGGTTGCGCACTCCTTAGAAAAATCTAACCAATGCTCGAATGTGAGGTGAACAGTTTCATCCCGAAATTATCCCCCTTCCGGTCTGAGGAAAAATTATCTTCCAAGAAACCAGTCCCTGGTGCCAAAAATGCTGGGCACCGCTACTCCAGAGATTTTAGGGGAAGTGTGGCCCAGCCCTACCAACATCTTGATTTTGGACTTCTAGCCTCTGGAACTAGGACAGAATAAACATTTGTTGTTTTTAGCCACCAAATCTATGATGCCTTCTTATGGCAGTTATTGGAAACCAACATAGACCCCTCAACATGCTTACAAGCCCCAGCCGCTCCAGCCATTTCTCTGTTCCTCCACTGGCCCAGCTCCTTCCCATCCCAGGGCCTTTGTGTACACTGCTCCTTTCAGAATGTTCCACACCCACTTGCTCCCCCATGACTCCCATCCTCCTTCCAAACTCAGCTTAAATGGCCGCCTTCAGGGAAACCTCGCCCGGGGTTTTCGAGTTTCCGCTCAGGGCAGCAGGCTGAACCTTCCTCAGAGCCCTGCCACATCTGTAGTTAGTTACTCATATACAGTTATATTCTGCCCATTTCTCCTGTCCGGCTGTATTGTAGCTGCTATGACCACAAGTCCTGGCCTGCACCAGCAGAGCACAGTACACACTGGGAAGGACCACATGGATAAAGGGTGTATGGAAATCCTGGCCTGGCGCTGGAAGGCCCAGGCTGTGGGGCCTCTGCTCCCATCACAGCCTGCACTCCTGCCCCCACCCTACAGGACGTTTCTCTCCAGTCAGGCCAGGCTAGGGTGGCCTCCCTGCTTCCATGGCCCCCATCATTACCACTCCTCTTGGCCAAGCCACGGCTTACCTTACCTGAATGACCTGGCCTCAATGCCTTCTGCACCTGCAAGGCCTGCATTAAAGCAGGTTCCCAGAGTAGCAGGTAGGTCAGAGGAGAGGGAGATGGGACAGAAGGGAGTGGAGGGATGTCTTAAGACTGAGACAATGTTGAGAGTCTCTCTCTCTCTCTTGAGACTAGGTCTTGCTCTGTCACCTAGGCTGGAGTGCAGTGGTGTGATCACAGCTCACTGCAGCCTTTAACTCCCTGGGTTCAAGCGATCCTCCTGCCTTGAGCTCCCAAAGCATTGGGATTGCAGGCGTGAGCAATCCCAATGGATTTTCTCTCTTTACAGCATATTTTAAACATTAAACATATGATACATGTTCAATGTAGGGAAAATAAATCTTAGAAAACATAATGAGCCAAAAAGGACAATAGAATAAAAATCACCCATATTCCAACTGCACAGAGTAACCTTTGTTAGCACTTTGTCGTATATTCTCCTAGGTCTTTAGGTGAGCCAAACGTAGGGGAGAGAAAGCATAGGGAATTATCTCCATTCTTAGGACATGATTTTCAAAAACCAGAGTTTCCAGGAAGCCTCATTGCTCCCCTAAGGCCAGGGAATCTATGAATGTGTGTCTTCTCATGTCTGGTCATGATGTGGGGAAGGGTCAAGGCCAGGACCCTCTGACCTGGACAGGAATGAACTATTCTTGCTCTGTGGGTGCCATCCTAACCCCACTCTCCAGGCCTGCCCTGTCTTTGAGGCAGCTTACTGCAGCCAGAGACACTACTCATCCCAAAGGAATTACAAGCTTGGGTCAAGGCCAAGGAAAAATTTCCCCTTCGTCCTCTGAAAGCTTGCTGAAAATCACTGACAAGAGGCAGAATAACAGGAGAAAAAATACGCAAATTTATTTAATCAGAGTTTTATGTGTCACAGAGGCCTTCAGAATGAAGACCCAAAGATGGAGGGCAAATTGTCTATTTTTATGATTCATCAAAGTGTGGACAGTCTTGTTGAAATATAACTGGACAGCCAGGCACAGTGGCTCATACCTGTAATCCCAGCACTTTAGGAGGTTGAGGCGGGTGGATTACCTGAGGTCGGGAGTTCAAGACCAGCCTGACCAACATGGAGAAACCCCATCTCTACTAAAACTACAAAATTAGCTGGGCATGGTGGCGCATGTTTGTAATCCCAGCTACTTGGGAGGCTGAGGCAGGAGAATCACTTGAACCTGGGAGGCGAGGTTACAGTGAGCCAAGATTGTGCCCTTGCACTCTAGCCTGGGCATGGGAAATAAGAGTGAAACTCTGTCTCAAAAAAAAAAAAAAAAAAAGGAAAGAAAGAAATAGAATTGGACAGAAAGGTTATGCTCTAATACTAATAGAATGAGTGGGGAAACCCAGCCACACCCATCTGCCTAGATTCTTCTTGGCCTCTCTGGGCATGTGTTCCTTCTTTTTGAGTTGGGAGGTGGGGTGCAGGGCCTCTCTGGAATGGGGATTTTTTTTTTTTTTTTTTTTTTGAGACGGAGTTTCACTCTTGTTACCCAGGCTGGAGTGCAATGGTGCGATCTCGGCTCACCGCAACCTCCACCTCCTCGGTTCAGGCAATTCTCCTGCCTCAGCCTCCTGAGTAGCTGGGATTACAGGCACCATGCCCAGCTAATGTTTTGTATTTTTAGTAGAGACAGGGTTTCACCATGTTGGTCAGGTTGGTCTTAAACAGCCAACCTCAGGTAATCCACCCTCCTCGGCATCCCAAAGTGCTGGGATTACAGGCGTGAGCCACTGTGCCCAGCTTGCTTGCTTGCTTGCTTTCTCTCTCTCTCTCTCTCTCTCTATCTGTCTCTCTCTCTCTCTGTCTGTCTCTCTCTCTCTCTCTCTCTCTCTCTCTTCTTTCTTTCTTTTTCTGAGATAGAGTCTCACTCTATCGTCCAGGCTGGAGTACAATTGCTCAATCTCTGCTCACTGCAAACTCTGCCTCCCAGTTTCCAGTGATTTCCCTGCCTCAGCCTCCTGAGTAGCTGAGATTACAAGCCCCCACCACCATGCCCAGCCAACTTTTATATTTTTAGTAGAGATGGGGTTTCACCATGTGGACCAGGATGGTCTCTAACTCCTGACCTCAAGTGATCCACCCGTCTTGGTCTCCCAAAGTGCTGAGATTACAGGCCTGAGCCACTGTGCCAGGCCCGTAATTACTTGTGCACTGGCTTAATATCATCCCCACAACGGCCTTCTGGGCAGAAACTAGCGGGCTCTCTTAGAGAAGTCACAGGCGTGGTCATTTCCTGCAAAGAGCCAAACCCCCCTTCCTCTGTGCCCCTCCTCTTCCTCCAAGTGCTTTATAAAAAAGGCTCTTGTTACAGGAAATTACTGTTTATTTTCCACTCCTCTCTCCTAGGTCATGCTTTTCAGAAAAAGAGGATCTGCATCCTGGAAACCATAAGAAAAATATGAGACGGGGAAACATCGTGTGATGTGTGTGCTGCCTTTGGCTGAGCCTGTGGAGTCCTGCTCAGGTGCTGGGTCCAGTGTGTTGGGGACAGTGATCGTGGTGGCTTGAGGGGAACCTGATGGTCAGAGCTGTGACTGTGGTGAGTGCGTTTTTAAACACCCTCGGTTTGCAGGTAGCAAACGGCAATGGAATGGGGGCTTTCTCAAGCCTCACCCCTGACCCCAAGACTCATGCCCAGCTCATCAGGGCTTTGAGGGAAGGGTTCTACCTCCCTTCCTGAGGAGCAGGAAATACCCTTTCTCCCAGCACAACTAAAGCTGAGGCTTGGAGAGATGCCAGGGCTGGGGTGTTGTGGAGAAAGCAATTGTGTAACATTTCATTTTCAGGCTGCACTCAGAGAAGCTGCCCTTGTCTGCTGGTAGCACTGGGCCTTCTCTCCCTGTCATCATCTGGAGCAGCCAATGTCCTGGAGGCAGAAGGTAGGCTCAAGAGTAGCCTGGTGGAATGCCAAACCTAGGGCCCATGGCACCCAGAGGCAAGGGGGTGCCTGCTGGCTGCCCTGTTCCCACTCCCTGAGCTCTGTTTTCCACTTTGGCTTTTTCTTTTTTCGAGACCGAATCTCACTCTGTCGCCAAGGCTGGAGTGCAGTGTCGTGATCTGGGCTCACTGCAACCTCCGCCTCCCGGGTTCAAGCGATCCTCCTGCCTCAGCCTCCTGAGTGGCTGGGACTACAGGTGCCCGCCACCATACCCAGCTGATTTTTGTTTTGTTTTGTTTTTTAAAGATGGGGTTTCACCATGATGGCCAGGCTGGTTTTGAACTCCTGACCTCAGGTGATCCACCCACCTCAGCCTCCCAAAGTGCTAGGATTACAGGTTTGAGCCACCATGCCCGGCCTAATTTTTGTATTTTTAGTAGAGACAGGGTTTTACCATGTTGGTCAGGCTGGTCCCGAATGCCTGACCTCGTGATCTGCGCACCTCAGCCTCTCATAGTGCTGGGACCACAGGCGTGAGCCACCACGCCCAGCCCTGTTTTCCATTTTGTTGACTAAGGTCCTCCATGAGGTGGATTCTGGGGACAGGGGAACCCAGGTCCCCAAGGGTTCCTGATTGGGTAAGGCTGCACAGGACAGCTTCCAGCCTGGGTCTGGGATAGTTGCTGCCTTCTTTCTTCACTACACCCATGGTCTCCCTGGGCTTGGTGGGGTGTGTGTGTGCAGGCCCTGCTCTGCTTTCAGCAAACCTCACTGGGACAGGAGTTTTGGGGTGACATTCCCAGCCTGTCTCCTAGAGGTGTCTCTACAAGCAGCCTCTGAGGGTGGCTGGGCACCAGGGAAAGGGGAGCTGGCGGGAGGTACCCAGCCAGAGCCTCAGTCCTACAAGGGCAGGAGGGTGAGGGGAGCATGGTCGTGGATTTCTTGGTGCCCACAGATGCCCCACTCCAGCCTACATCCATCCATCCCACATCTCCGGGGTCACGGGACCCAGAAGGCAGCCTTGGTTCTGCTGAATGTCTGCCTGGTGACTCTTTGGTGGCTAGGAGAGCCAGCAGAGGACATTCTCCAGTTTCTAGTCCTCCACCTAGCCTCCCTGCAGCTGGGACTGCTGTTGAACAGGCTCTGCAGCCTGG